TTTGTAAACATATATAAAATGATAAAAATCACAAAAAGCGTTCTGTGCCATTATGTAGCCTTATTTCATGTTACCAATTGAATTAAATGTTTTATCCGTATCATGAAATGAGCCTAAATAATTACATTATGTCGCGAAAACAGGAGACAATTTCAATTCTCTTGACGGGTTCTTAAATTTCGACCATTTTGCTGACGTTATTGAAAACATCATTACATAATCTATTCATAAAACTTACATTTTCAACTTCTATTACTCGAAATCCGAGAATAACCTCGTCGTACGTACCAACGACTAGTTCCATGTTGACATTTGGACATGTGCTTGCGTAAAACGTCATCAAAATAAGCGTAAAGACATGCACCCAAAACAAAGATTTTTATATCAACTTATTAGTATGAACGCTAACAAAGTCAAATTTGTTTATTTTATTAAAGTAAAATTAAATTTTTAAATGTTCTGATCTAACTTAAAATGTTAAGTGCTAATTTTTAAGCTTTGCTTGAATCAGTTTAGAGACTTTTGTATGTAGCCAATCTGAAAATTGATAAAATCCATATTTTATTACTTTCTTAGAAAATACGACTTCTATGTACACTAATCTATTACATGTAAACAACCATGGCTGTCAATGATGCTAGCAGAACATTATGGATGGGAGATGTAAGTTATAAACAGCAGATTTTATATAATGCAATATGTTTTCGCGATGTGTATTTAGCTGTTCAGACAGACGCCCAGACTCATATAGGTCTAACATAATTAAAACTTGTCATGAGTCTCATGACAAGTTTTAATTATGTTAGACCTATATGTAACCTGTGTGTGTTTGCGTTTGTTCACCCTCACCACCGGAAAGAGACCATATGGGCGAGCATTAAATATGTAACCTATTTTATGCTTTCCCTTTAATTAGTCCAATATATTAGACGTTACAGGCTTGTTATAGTTTATGTCGGTCAAGCCTGAAGATAAGAAGATAAGCTTTTGAATAAAGCTTGAAAGGCAAGACAATAGACATTTTTTGAAATTTTTATGATGCTATGCGTTTTTGAGCAATAATTATTAGACGTTACAGGCTTGTTATAGTTTATGTCGGTCAAGCCTGACGTCTAATAATTATTGCTCAAAAACGCATAGCATCATAAAAATTTCAAAAAATGTCTATTGTCTTGCCTTTCAAGCTTTATTCAAAAGCTTATCTTCTTTTCTTTCAATTTCATGCTCAATTATACACACAAACTCTCAAACAATGTACTTAACAATTTAAAGTAAAATATAAACGTCAATCTATTTTTGTCTATCAGCCATACTGGTTAAGCAAGGTGCTTCACAGATTGATTCCAAATTTTTGAACGGAAAAATATATTCTAACACACTGACGGTGCATGGGCAATTATTTCGTTAAAAAAATATTCCGTTAGATTGTTCTGACTCAGTTAAACGCTTGCATTTGAATTAGCCAATCAGATTTCGCGCACTTTATAGCCGCCATTTGTTTATCGGCTGTAAAGGGAATTTAAATACATGTGAGGATTTAATCATGATTTTTCGGATGTGACAGTTTAATTATTTTGACAAAAAATATTTATTTTTTAGTTTTGTTCATAAATAGGTCAAAACTTATGTAAATACACGCTGTCTTCATTGTTTTTCGTTCCGCCCGATTTTCTGGCGGAACATGCTATGGGTTTTTGAGCAATTTCGATATGACGTTGCTTTGCCCAGAAGCAAAAATATCTCAAAGCGACGTCATATTTATAGGACTACCCTTAAATATGAAAGTAGCCAAAGCACTTACAAACTTTCGCTATACGTATATGCAGTATTTCGATAGAGCGGAAGTCAGTGCGCGAGCATGCGCTTTGCCATATCTCGTTCAGTTACCGCTCACGTTTTAAACTCAGTTGCTATGAAGCGACACTAAGTGTACATGGCTTTTACAACTAAAATATCAGACAAACACATTAAAACAATACACATAAACTACACATACACATGTAGTTGTTTTCCATATTTATAACTGATAGTCAAACATATATCTCAATATTCTTACTGATTTAATGTATTGTTTACATGTGATGACAGCAACGCTGTGTGTTAGATTACTTTTGGTTCAGAAAATTCATTTGTTTACCATCAAAACTCATGTTTACCATAGGAACCATATATAGATAGAAAGCAAATTAAACAAAGGTAAAGAAAAAATTGTCCGTTTCTGAACAAAAAATCGAATAAATAAATACAAAGTCTTTTTAAAAGTTCCCTTCTTTAAGTTCATTTGAAAGGGGAATAATTTGGTGGAATTTTAGACAAGGAAACAGGGAGTTGTCTTTCATGGCTAGGGAATATGGCCGACTGAAATCATGCAAGTAAGTTTGTAAGTGCAAAGCCTATCAGATAAAAAGATGTCGTTAGTTTTTTACTTTACATTTTTCTTTAAATAGAAAATTTATTTAAAAGAAAGTTGTTATTCAGTATCATGCACCACTTCCGTTTTAGTCAGACAGAGACGTTGAAATACATATATACAATATAATATATTATATTTCTCTGAATCAGAGTACCTTGATGATTATTCTTAAGCATCCTTTTTTGGAATATCTCGCCAATTATCATTGTGTTACATTAAAAATGTTCGCTGATTATCATAAAGTTATGATTACATATAAATCTGGGATTCATGGCTGAACGGCGATTCCAAGCATTTTTGGAAATGCTAATACTTGTATTCCAATATAGATATATGTCAGACCTTTTCCCTGTATCACCATGATAATCAGACCCATTCCCAATAGCAAAATATAACTTTTTCCATTGAATCTTTAAATAATATAAAATTCATAAACTAACTGAAATCCTGGTATCCAAATGAAAAAAATTGCTGAAGTTTATCTGGTATCATAACAGACAGAGTATGATATTTTTTAAACATTAACATTTATAAACATATGAATTAATACTGCAATATTTCCAGTAAAAAAGTAATGTTCATGAGATTCTTAAAACATTAAATTTCCCTGGACGATTGAAATAAACTACAACAGAACCCACAGAGTTCCAGATAATTTTTTTACACTGGGGGTAATTACCCCCACTTTTCAGAATGTGGGGGTAAATTTAGATATATCGTAAATCTAAAGGGTACAATTAAATGACTTACTTTTTTGTACAAAAATAATATGATCCTTTGAAAATATAATAGTTTTTAATGAAAACACATTTAAGATATTTATTTTGTATTAATTTAGCAGATATTCAGCGTGAATTCACTTCAATTGAAAGGCCTTTACCATATTCTTATTCTTTTTTATATTGTTTACAACAAAAATTGGTGACAATACATAAACAGTAACGTTACAAATAATCATCAATCAATTGCCGATTTCTGCATGTTTATTGCACCTTCATTAGCCCATACATTGCCAGCTTTAAATTTATGACAAGTCAGATATTTCATTCGTACTTCAGTACCAGTTTCTGAAATTTGAAGCCACGGATAACATTTTTGCCAATTTTCAAGTGTTGTGTTGCGAATACACGATCTATTTACAATGTCTTCAACAATAGGATTCACAATTGTTTTAGTGTGTAACTGAGTTGCGTTAAAAAATTGTCAATTTTCCTCTGCTTTGGTTTGGAAGCAGCCATGATTTACGTCTTTATTAACAAACGCTTGCAATTATAAATGGAAATCAAGCCACACGTTTTACCAAGCGTCTACGCGATTAAGACATAATTTGACTGGTTTACAGAATGAAAAGTTGTTGGAAGTATTTTGGCGGGTAATAAACGGAAAAAGATACACAGTCAACTGTTAAATGGAAATGGAATCAGCTGTTTCGAAAATGAAAGTGCACACCAAATACGCTTCGATTTTTCATTCTTTGCGTATTTAATTTATAGCGTGCGTAAATGAACGCAACAAATTTGAAATATGGTGCGTATTTAGCTGCTTTTGAAGCGTAAAATACGCCGATACGCACGTTATCTGGAACTCTGACCCAGCTAGTGCTGCTTTTGATTTTAGTATCTGTTTCATTTAAAAGAAAGCAAAATTGACAAACAACTAAATATGATGTAAAAACAAACTGCTAGTATTTGATTGTTTTGTAAAATTGGTTGTATTAGTGGATTAATCAGGAAAATGGCATGGTTGATGTTGTAGGGACTGGTGTGACCAGGGTTGGTGTTGTATGGAAATAATGTTGAAAACCCAGTTTGGCTCAAATCTTCTTTTCATTGAAAACCAAAGTACAGCTGGAGAATTAGGTTGAAGCAGTCTATGTTCTCTGATGATGTAAGCGTATTGGAATAGACTATTAAACTTTAGTCATATAGGTTAAAACTTATTTATGTTTTGAATGTATGTCTCTTAATATATTTCTGTAGAATATTATACTGTTTTTCCATTTTAGTTAGAACCATACATGGATGAGTTTTTCATTTTGCAAGCCTTTGAAAATATGGGTGAACCAGCTGTACAAGTGAAAATGATTAACAACAAATATACTGGGTATGTTTGAATGTTGAGTTTTTATATAACATCTTCATACATACATATAATTTTTTTTTTTTTAAACATGATCATTTTAGCTCAGTTGTGAAAAAATAAACCTGGTAGCTTAATATTAAAACCCTTGTTGATTTCTTTTCTTGGATCTAAGCTTTTCTTGGTGTCATATGAGGTTACATATCATGTCATGGTTGTGATCCAAGTAGGGCTTGAACCCACAATCCTAGGGTTGAGAGGCAGACACCTTTGTTGCAGGCCATTACTCTCTTCATCTTTTTGGTTTTCTCTCTGACCAATGGTAGTCAACTGATGTTGTTAAAAGGTTAGAGAAGGTAAAAAATTATATAAGAAAATGAGTTATCATTGATACAGCTTCTACCAATAAAGGAGATTTTCCTTTATCATTGGTAGGACTGGGGAAGATGATGATTTTCAAAAGATTTATGGGCAAGAAAGGGAAATAAGTAGAGAAGTTGGTCAGATGTATCCAGAATTGAGGTAGGAATATGGAAGATTGAACATTAACCTTCAGGGCTCATCCGGAAGGGCGATTCAGGCGAAAACTTCGCAGTGTATATTTCCATTTCGCTCTCCCAATTGATCAAAGAGAAGTCAACATCGCCATTAAAATCTTAATTCCCAAAGAGTAATTACTTGGCGATGTAAAGACCAGAGATTGTATCCACCCATATGACGACTGCTAATTATCATTATCCAATCAGATTGTCGCTTTATACTACCCTTTTACCTGTATGCAAAGCGATAGACCGCCTACTCTAAACAGTAAATAATGAGAGCATCGGCCCGAAACGGGTATAATTGTGTGACAGTTTTGCGAGTTTAATACGGGATTTGGCGTTAATTATAGATTGTTTTTTCCCGATCATCTGAACACGTGCAAATCTTCCCTAATTGATATACACACGGTGTTTAACCCGAGTAAAGGCGATGTGCAATGGATTTTTCACGGCTATCACAAAACTGTTAGTCAATTAAAAATAATCATCCGGATTAAAAACTTAATCATAGTTTTGAATGATTTCAGTCCGTTAACATCAATTAAAATTTGTTATGTTGCTCATGTCATGGCTACAGGGCGAAATGCCCAAACCTAGCAGTAAAAGAAAGTTACTGATTCTAATACACCTACGCAAAAAAAATTTCAGAAAGCCAATTAGCAAAAATCTTACGATTGGTATGTTGTAGACAGTGAGAGTGTTTGGCATTGTTATCTTTGTTTGACACAGCTTACGCACTGGGTACGACATCCCGGAAAAACTACGAATCATGATCGGCATGCTACATATCGGTCATATATCATGTGTACATGTAACAACAAAATTTGTCAGGAAAGAAGTGTTCTTATTGTTTCAATATATATATTTGTTTTAATGTCATAAATATGACTCTCAGATTAAGATTTATCAATATTGTAAATTTCAAAAAGCATTATTTATAAAGATATTGCCGAGTTTAACATTTCATGAAAATAAAAGAAGGTAATTAGAAATTTATTTTCTATAATTTTTCAGTCAAATTTTTCAATAAGAAATGAATGTATATAATTTTAGTGATCAAATATAATGTGCACAAATGTTTGCAGTATATATTTTACATATTCTTCGATGTTTGAAAATTGTTTTATAAGCATAATTATATGCACATAAATGTGACATTACAACATACAAGATCATAAAAGAAATTTTTGTAATCAGAACAGAATGGACAGATTTTAATAATCAATATCCAATGTAACTCTATCTTCTATTAAAAGTGAGGAAAGTAAAAAGATAAAATTAATTATTCATCATATTTTTTCTTACACATTATTATCAATAAATCTACATGAAAATATATAAACAAATATTTAGAGAAAGCTTATAAATAGCTCATAAATAGATTAATTGTGTTTATATTATAGTTAAAGGATGTATAGCCATGCATGTTAATGCATACACATTGGGTTGTTTCCCTTCTCCCTATTTTTCGTGAGGAAGTCACTTCTCCCTAAAATTTCCCCCCAGGATGAGCCCTGACCTTTCTAGATAACATACTGGTATGATATGATGTGTGTGAAAATTTGAAATTTGCAAAATTTATTGGAGTAGTTGTCAAGACCTGAAGTTTGTGCATTTATATGAAACAAGCAGATGTACAATTTAAGGTATTGATATAGTAGATATATTGATTATTTCAGATTGCCAGCTGGTTACTGTTTTGTAGATTTCACAGATGGTGACACTGCACAGAGAGCTCAGTTACGTCTTAATGGAAAAATTATACCAAACAGTCAGCCTGTAAGTTATACAGATAGTGTTATATGTCATTTATTGGCCGGGTACCACAGGTGTTAACTTGGGTTAAAGTATGGTGAATGGCGGGCAGACTGATGGATGGTTTGGGAAAAAAGCTTCTGTAACAGTTTTCTCAGCAACTACTTATCACAGTCTCTTGATATTTGGTATACAGCTTTAACACATGGATCCAAACTGTGGTATCCAATTTCAGTGCTGTCGCTCATCCACTTTCTGTTTACCAACTTAGTTAAATTTACGACATTAATGGTCAATGGTAGAAATTTTCATAATATCACAGCCTCATGATATTAGGTATACAAATGTAAGCCGGCCATTTCTGTCTTTGACCCATTTTTGAAGGAATCAGTTTGGTGTGTTTTAATTTGATTTATGAATATCATATTATATATGATACACATAAGTCTGCTATAAAACAGGTAGGACAGTCAAGTGTATTTTTACACAGTATATGCACGCCATAAGAAATGAATGCGTACAAGATATGCATGCCATAAGAAATGAATGCCTACAAGCCTCATGACATTAATAAACCAAATAAAATTAGGAAAATTACTTCTGTGCTCAATGTCGTTCAACATATTTTTACCAATTCCTTATTTTTATTAGCATGTTAGAATGGAAATAGATACTCATTTTGTATTATTCTACAACAAAACACTCAAAATTGATGTCTATTTTCAAAATCTAAATACCCTATGATGATAAAAGTTTAAGCAAAGACTGCAGTATATTTGAAATGACAATATTATATTGAGAGTATAATGCAAAAATATGTATGAGGATAAATTGATTGGAACTAAAAACTTAAGATTGTAAAAAAAAACTTTGAAATGAGTGTTCATTGTTTAAGTATAGATAAATAAACTTTTTAAGTATATCTTGTTTGCTACTTTTTCAGCCTCACAGATTCAAGTTGAATTCAAATCAAGTCAGAGACTGTCCAAAGTAAGTACATGTACTGGCCAGAACTTCTCAATTCTTTTCCTCATCTTGTCCATCTGATTATGGTCTGTACTGTTCCATATTCACTCAGTACATATTTTGAAATTTTCCCAAAAATGGATGACTGGTTTTGTCCAGATTGAGAAATGGACAAGTCCATTTAGGATGGTAAATTTTAAGGCAGTCATGATAGTATTTTATATTTTGTTTCCACAGAAAAATGAAATACCAGAGCCCCTAGCGAGCATAATATTGTTTAATTCAGGTTCGATAATTTTAGAAATGAACCTAATGGAATAAACGGCAAAAGTTGTAGAATAGAATAAATGGCCAAAATTGTAGTTATCACATACGCAAAGTAAGAACTGTTTTAAAGTATAAAAAATTCATTTATGAAGATCTTATAGTGTAATGTTAACATTATTTGCACTTTTACACAAGGTTTGTGTAACACAAATGATGTCACATTGCAAAGTTATTTACTAGTGTATTACCGATTTTATTAAATGACTTTATAACACTATTTTCGTCTTGGTTTTTACATGATATATCATTACATATATTCAAGTGTAAAGAAAAATAACCAAGAACAGTAGTATATATGAAGGTTGTCAGACTTCAGTTGGCCATATTCATAAAAAATAGAATCCTTAAAGAAAGCTCCTTAATTTTTAAGGAGGATAATCCTTTAACTGAAACAAATCTCCAAAAGTTAGAGAAATTTTCTTTTGTGTCTCAATATTAATTTATTTTGTACCAATTTTTGACTATGCAAACTTTTATGATTTCAGAAAAGAGTTTTCGTTGTTTGTTGGAGAGTTATCGGAGGAAGTAGATGATTATGCCTTATTCCGAGCATTTGTTAAAAAATATTCATCATGTCACACTGCAAAAGGTAAAAACTAAACTTTTATGGATTTATTTTACAATTTATACTACACAGTGATTTTCCTCCTTATAAAACAGAGGCTTATTAAAGGCCTCTTGCCAATTGAAATTTTTCTTTAAAATCATGCAGTTTTCCCAAAAAATCTGAACTTACCCTCAGTTTTTTTACTTCCCAAATTAGCAATTTTAGCAATAATTAAAATAAAAATTAAAATCTTATTGAAATCAAATCTAATTTTAAAGACTATTTCATCTTAAATGAAAAGTCCTTATTTTTAAAGATAGGTTTCTTTTAGGCTGTTCTGTTCTATTAAAATCTGTGTGTAAGAACTTTTTAATGTTTTTGTTGATATGATGTAAAATATAATTCTTATTTTTATAAATAATGTATTGTTTCCATTTAATGCCCTTGGGGGCTTGTCTTTTTTCAAATGGGGTGGGGGGGGGGATAGTTAATTAGAACTGTGTACTTTAAAATATATTATCTTTAAGATTCAATTCAATTGTAAAAAGTCATTATTTGTTATTTTTTAAATGAAAATATTTGGATTTTTTGGATTGCCTTTTCAGTATAGATTATCATTCTTCTACAAAATGTGGTATAGTGCCGGGGGGGGGGGGGGGGGGGGGAAAGATGGTGAATGGAAACAAGGTTAAAGGTTTTTGTTTTTGCAGCTGTGCATCAAAATAACTTTAGCATCAAGATTGTCCATGAAAAAATTTAGTACCATAAGTCATACATGTATGTTAGACGAGAGTCAAAGTCCATCAACATTCATTTGTTAAGTGTGTTATGTTTTCAGTTGTATTAGATTCACGAGGTATGTCAAAAGGTTATGGTTTTGTGCGGTTCTCAGAGGAGACTGACCAGCAGAAAGCCCTCATAGAAATGCAGCATACAATCGGTCTGGGACGTAAACCCATGAGGGTCAGTCTAGCCACACCTAAAAAGTATGAGAACTGATTTATCCTGTTTTCTCGTATTCTCGGGGGGTTAAGGACTAAACTTGGTTTCATAATATTTAAAAAACATTTTGTTACAGTATTTTTAGCCTGATACACAGAGAAATACCTTGTTTACAAAATATAAAGAAAGAAAAATCGTAACTGTAAGCAAAACTAAAGATATTTCTGCTTGTATATACTGACCTTCACCCTCTATGTGAAGCAGGTGCTTTCTCGTATTCTCGTGGAATTTGATTGGTTGTTAAGGCTGGTCGCTATGTGATGATTTTATTCTACATACCAGTTCAAATCATTAGTGCCACACGTAATTAAGTGTTAGATGGCCTAAATCTGTAATTTTATTGTGTTTTAATAACAGCTTGGCAGGCCATATCAAACTTTTAGGGTCATATTGACGCCTCTTTGGTACCAAATGATTTTGATTGTTCCAAAAATAGTTTGAACTCAATTTAGTGTTGTTATTTACATAATCTCTCTAATATATATTAAGTTTACGTTTATTTATTAGTTACTTATTAGTTATATGAGCATTAAACAATAATTACTACTGTTTTCCATTGCAGTTGTCAAAAATGAAATGTGTTTAGGACAAACAATGTTTCATTATTGGTTTTTAATTGGAGTTCATATCTTTTTTATACTATCTATTCGTGGAACAAATATTTTGAGCTGTATTGTATAAATAGTAGTGTGAGACCGTCATTTGATGCGTCTTGCGTCAGAGACCCGCTGCAGGTTTCTGCAACATGGAAAAATCTAGAAAAGTGATGATTTTTGGGAGGAAATTGATAAATTTAATGTTTATTCTCTGGATTTTACGATGATTTCCACAGTTATTTTGGTTTTTTATCTATTTTTGTCGCATTTTCTTTATTTTTTTAATGGAGATGAAAATGCTCTGCTAAATAGACATGTTTTCGGATATCGACGGAAGTCGCGAGCGTCGCTTCCATCCGTTTTAATTATTCCACGAGAATACGAGAAACCCCGAGAATACGAGAAACAGGGATAATATTTGATGTTTATTATTTTTTGGTGTTGACTGTTATTTGACTAAATTTTGTGTACTTTTGAAGAAATCAATGTTAGCTGGGTCAATTGTAATTTGTATATATTCTTTAATTTCATAAATAAAATATTTTTTGATTTTTCAATTGTATAAGTGATATGTAGGAAGTTGGGACGTTAATGCATAAAACATGAAAACAGTGTTGGCATGACTTAAAGCCAAGCCATAAATCATTGTATTATTGTATATCAAATTAAATGAATTGTTTTAATTCAGAACAAATACCTATGATGGTGGAAGTACTGCAGGACCAAATATGGCGGCCGCCTCGTATCAGAGTAAAGCGTACCAGGATTATTATCAACAGTATTACCAGCAATATTACAATCAGTACTACGCAAGCCAACAAGTTGCCCAAGCACCAGTAAATATGCTTTATTTATACTGTTAAATACTGCCGAAATTTTGATCCCGAACAATATCTTTGTCATATAGGGAAATGTCTGTTGTTGACGGGCTATCTTGATTCAGGTTGTTTTGCAATTTTAACAGAGGTAATCAGGAATGTCACTGAATTAAGGTTAAGAAGATAATGGTGATCTTTGGCGCTTTTTTATGAACATGGTTGTTGACATCATTATAATGTCTGATGCCTGTTATATAAGTTAATTTCAACTGTTTTGTCAGGAAGAGCCAGGAAACAGGTCAGAAATGGTAGTTTGATGATAATTCTTTCTATGAAAATGTCTGTAAAAACATTGTATATTCAGAATGTTTCACAAACTTTTTGGATAACATAGAACAAATCTTCTGAGATAATACAGTCCATCCTTTTCAGAAGTAAAACAGTACAACCTCTTTACAGCTGATACAGTGCAATCTCTGCAGAGCGGCACCATTTGGGACACAAAGTGTGGTTGTTGCTCTAGCGAGATTAATAGGCCACTAAAGTTATGAGTATATGTAGCTTGACATCAAACAAATTGCAACACAAGCTTTCTTTAGTATTTTGCAATCAATATATATCCATGGACCTTGTAGTAAAACCCTAAAAAAATATACCTTCGGAAACTTGACTTATGGCAGGTAGTTTACGAGTACCTGTCCAGGGATAAAAATCGTAATATAAAATCGTAATATGTTTAATATGTGGCGACTGTCTTGTCTTTCTATGTTATAGATTGGTAGTTTTTAAGCATGTATTTGGTGTTCGTAAAAATAGAATTTGCAATGAATAATAACAGGTTTTGCCTCTTTTTTATTATTTATTCACTTGTGACACACAAGATTATTACCCCACCCACTCATAATAATAATGCAAAACGTTCAAATTACATTATCTTAAAATACCTAATAATTACAATTGAAAAGAGGTTCAAATAATATTTATATCACATAAGCTTATATAAATAAAGAAACATAATCACTTAGGACATTTTGAAAGCAAAATGTAACATACGTTACATCAATTAAATTAACATTATTTTAGCATCGTTTAACTATTTTTGAAAAATTTATGAAAATAAAGAAAACAAACTTAGTTATTTTTCCTAAAATCTGTAGGAACAAACAATGCACCTGGTAATATACTCAATTTCTGACAGTAACTCGTTATTTATTTTTCCTGTGTCATTAACATATTTGTACGTTACCAAAGTCTCATCTATCCAAATATTACCCATAAATGTTATGCAAACTATAACTTTTAACATGATTTAGTAGAAATAACTATTTATCATCGCCAGTATTGTCCAACTATCTATATTGCACAACATTTACGTTAGTGAGGAATAAATGCTAAAAATGAGCCGTCGTTATGCCTTTAGTAATGCTTCAAAATTAGAATTTTATATGTACAAAATGTCAATCTTATGTCATGTATCATTTAGGTTGCTTTAAAAAATATTTCACCTTTGAAATTGAATGCCATCACATCTTGTTTAACCTATTTATGTTTTCTTCCTTATTATATAAAGAGATATTAAAGTGATCTCCACATCTCTATATCTCTCATAATGCTTATTAGTTCGACTACACCTAGTCACATTTAAAAAAAAAATGTTATCCTTTCAATAACTTTCAAAGTATTGCATAGTGGTTAAAAAGCTTTCTCCTGCTGTTTTCGATGGTCTTTTCACTAGATTTGCAAGTCGTGTTTTTGCACTTTTCATGAAAAGAACGTCTTGAAATGACTGTTACTGTTACAACAATGGTGGTAACGTATTTTATCTGTCAGGAGGCCATTTACGCATTTGATTCTTCCTAGGACTTTACTTCACGCTTAAAGTGTCTTGTTTTACACAAAGACTTGATTTAAACATGAAAGTCGAAGGTTTAAACTTTACTTACAACATCGCCACGAAGTTTATGTTCTTTCTGCAACTTACACAGTTATTGTCTTAAATAAAGATACGTTCAACATTTTTTTCTTGTTTCTGAACTTCTAATCATGTTATGGTCTCTTGCAGTTTTCTCTTCTCGTCGTAATGATAACAATACTCTTTTCTATCATTTCAATTTTACATCCAGTCATCTAAAATGGAAAAAAATAGATTACAAAAAAACATTTTCTGGTTTTAAAAAATATAATACTATTCATCATATAAAAATAAAGAAATAAATTTTACCCAAAAAGTGGAGTCCTCTTCAGAGAAATGCATAAATTTGGGTGCACTATAGAGCGAAACGTATGTTCAAGGACAAATACAGCTTTCATGATCACAGACTCAATCAAACCATGCCTGTAATTTTCAGTAAATTTGCTGTTTTTAATGCTTCCAAGGGCAGGGATCACTTACTTTACCAGATATTTATACATCACAACAGCAGATGTGAAGTGCTGTGTGGCAGCCGTAAAAAGTTGCCCCGTACTTTACTTCAGTGTTGTTTTATTTTTCTGGTCTTTCGGGATCATTGAATCCAGCACTTTTTAAGTGTTGAGAATTAAGTATTGCTCAATCCAGTGCTAGGGGGCATGAGGGATGTTTCACTTTTTCATTATCCATCATATACAGACTCAATCAAACCGGCTCTGCAATTTTCATGTAAATTTGCTTTTTAATTCATCTGAGGGATCACGTTCTACCTGATATTTTAATTACATCTGTAACTGTTATTGACGAGAGAAACAGAATTAAATAAAAGGAGGCATTTTCCCTGTGGTCACATGGTTGTAGGTATGACAGGGCTTTCATTTTTGGCTTATCAAAAAAAGCACCCGAACTATTTATCAATCACTTCATAGAAATGAGTTATCCGTTCGTTTAGGCCAATACTTTCAATATGATTCACATACGATATGCTGTAGTTTTCATAAATATAGGACGGACAGCATAAGGAAAGGAAAGCAAACAGATAGACAAACCCTATTAAAGATAGGCAGATGTTAACAGTTTCTCAGAATCAAGTTTTACAACTATCAAATTTTATTTTTTGGTAAAGAAAAAAAACAGAGCCAGACGGACAAAAAGGCAGATAGACATGTTTTTAAACAGAAAGACAGACTGTGTATATGGACATACCATATTAGCACAAACATCTCTGATTCATTACGTTTTTATTAAAACTATCTTATCTCATGTGTTTGTAAAATTGTACAACGAATTTAACACTCAAAATGGGGATCTATTACCACTGGCAAAGCAACAGTTAACTCCGAATATAGCTCCTCATCAATATTTGTAGCAAAATTTAGTTAAACCAAAGACACAGATAGCATGTTATCTATGTCTCTGGTTAAACCATGGAGCTCAACAACAATTTGAACTGCTTACTGTGACTGTAAAATAAGTTTTCTCCCTTTTTGGAATCATTATTTTGAAATTATATAATCATTTTAAATTCTGTATCTGTTTTTTACTCCCCTGACATCTCATATATCACTAGTATGTAAAAAAGATAATATACTCGTACCACGCTCAGTATTACCTTTCAATTCTTATCTTCCAAATGTTATTCAAATGAAAACATAGAAGCTATCATACACAATGACATTTTTATACCAAAAACTAATAATCTGTTAATAAATATCATGTATTTATTATTCTAAAATTAATAACAATTTATTCTAGATTTCGTGCATTGTTTACCCAAACACGCTTCCGTAGTTACATTTTGTAGCTACCCAGGATAAATTTAAATTTGTTTATTTTTATTTTTCCTACTTCATAAACATCTTATTATCAAAAGGAATGTTAATATATAGGCTAATGATTATTTATATCTCATGATAATTGAAAAATCTTTACTGTTTTAAACGACAAACGCTGATTTATATACACGCAAAAACCCATTACAATTCATTCATTATATTTGATATTTGGGCATGTACGAGGCTAGAAGTTGTAAAAACAAGTAAATATAATATGAAAATTTATACATACTTTGCACAACAACTTCTAAATCCAACTCCAAGTAGTAAATGTGTTAATTTTGAAATATTTAAATCGCGCGGCCACATTACTTTTGTTTACCTCGACACCGGTTACAGCATAAAACTCTGTGTATGGTGTACATGCAGAGCCATATAAAAACTCGAAACAAATGCAAAATTTGAATTGCTTTTTTTACTGGTTTGCCAAGGTTAGATTTTTTTAGGGTTTTTACCTGTTTTATATGATGTGTATAACAAACTAAAAATGTAAAAAAAGCTTGTGTTGCAATTTGTTTGACGTTAAATTTTACTTTAATCGGACTATAAATTTGTAAATCTTACTTCAGGAAGTAATGCCTTTCTTGTAAACAAGTAATTGCTGTACAGAGTGACGCTTTGCAGGGGTGGCATTGTAATACCGGATTGAATACTTTTGGCATAAATTAATCAGTTTTTCTTTCGTTTCAGGCGGTTAACAGTCAAACTCTAATAATATGAACAGCTTGCATTGATTTGCTATAAGGTTATGGTTTATTAACCAGTTAACAAGTGGAATGTTTCTAATTTCAGCCAGCACAGACCTATTATAATGCTAATGATGACCAAAACGCTCTTGAAGGTAAGATATATACTATATATTTCTACTTTGTCAAATATGTTTCATTCATGATTACATAACTATAAAAAATTTGAAAGAGAATTTAATCAATCATTTATAGTTTTCATTCCAACATGTCAAACATATTCATAAGAAATTTATAATACATTTACATCAGAATTGAGAATAAGAAAAATTTACTTCATAAATTGACGGCAGCGATGTATATAGATAATATCAAGGTCACAAATATCCAATGAAAAGCAATTTTACAAACATGAGGTTTTATGAAGATAAATGACCATAAAGATTTTTTTATTGTAGAGCCAGAACTTGAGATAGATGTGAATAAATACAACAAAGAATATATGGCTCAAAGTGAGGTAAGCTTAAACTTTTACAGATAGAAATTTGGCTATATTTGAATAGTAAATAGGTTTTTAAAGCTTAACTAATAAACAAATAGATAGAGCTATTGTAATCACCCAGGCACCATTGTCATACATTAAGTTTTTTTTTTACAAGTTGATATCTCTTAAAATACTTAAAGGAATGGGTTGAAACACTTCATACACTTGTTTTCTGTGATTATCTTACTTAATTTCAATAATTTGCACAGGTCCCATAACTCTTGAGTTATCTTTTAACAGAATTATGCCATTTTCTTAGTATCAAGCTGAGAGTAGTTGAGCATACTGTCTTACAGACAGATCTTGTTATCAGTAATGGTATTATGGATAAATTTCATATGAATAAAGACATGAATTTAGAAATAATTAGCACAATGAAACACACATGCTATATATTCAGAAAAAAATAGATACATTTCTTTATTTTATTTGTCATTAAAATGTGATATGAGCTTTGACAAGTGGCTAATTCACAATGTACTATCAGACAGTGCATGAAAAAACTGTAAAATAGAATGTTATTTCCATGTTGCAAAACATAAATTCTCTGTTATTCGCTTGATATAATGAAATAAAATAAACACAAAAATACTATCAATGTTTTCAAAATTTGTTATTCTCAAAATGCTTGTCCAAACAAATTAAATCGACTGGAACAGCCTTTAAAGAATGTTGTTATTAGAAACTGAGGCGAAAACAAATTTCGCCACCAAAAATATAGTCCATCTATATTTTTTTCTTGAAGTGTAAGAGTGGAAATAGATATCGATTTTCAGTAGTCTGTGTAACACATACATGGCACAGTATGTCGTTCAGATGTTTGTAATTGATCACTCAGGTCTACGGCAAATTTTTGTGAATCGATTATTGTCGCTTTACATAACGTACAGTAACTGATTATCGGCGACTTGCGACAATCGGAACATCACTAGAGACTAGCAAGCCGTTGTTCAAACAAATTTGATATATATGTAATATGTAATTGTAGGAAATATTCGATGTCTTAGAAGATTCAAGATGGCATCCGATGGATCAGTGGAACTCTACTGTACCGGCTACAGCGAGGTGAAACTTTATACAAACTGGTGTAGGTTACCGTAGGCAACTGGCATGGTTTTTACCGATGGTGGGCAAGGCTTAAATCTCAACTTAAAAATGTGCTATATGGATTGTACTGGGAACATAATTATTGTTATTGTTTTTCTATAAAAGATATCTGAATGTTTTGGAAATGGAGTTGAGTTTTATCATTTTCCATGACGACTTGTTTTCAGATACTAGCATAATTTGTGTATACCGTTTTGGAGCAGTAACAATAATGTTTCTGCAACTCCGTTAGTGATGGTGTTGACATATAAATGGAAAACTAATAATAAAAAAAAACTGGAGATGTAAAAAAGTTTTTTATTTAACTTTCTAATGTTAAAAGGTATTAGTTTAATGAAAAATGACACTTGAGGTTACATGTACTCAACTGCCAGGAACAGTCAGTGCTCGTGCCATAGGCTTGTTGTATCTACATTTATCACATACCCGTGTGGCTTGTGACTCCGTAAAAAACGTATTGCAGGGCCGTGCATATGTTTTGATGTGACATCATTTTGCATTATACGAACACAATGTAAAGATGCGCTAAATGTTAGCATTACACAGTAAGCATCTCAGTCAAAGAATTATTCTTTTTCACTTTAAACAGTGTAGGTTTATTTCTGAATTTATTAAACTTGTTTAAAAAAATATTATGCTCACTAGAGGTTTGCATAATGTAATCTTATTCAACTTGTTCAATAAATTCAGTATTGAACTTTCACTCATTCAATATCCTCTATGTATGAAACAATATGCAAAGTGATCTGTATAAGATATGTATACTATAATAGGAGTATAGCATTCCCTGTTGTTATATTACTTGAATGAAAATCATTTCCTTGATTTTAGATATGAAATTCAGGATTAAATATATGTCATGAAATATTTCAGTCATCATTTATATAATTTCTGAATTTAAGTACTATTAAAGGAACTCAACTCAGATCCAAAAACCTGAAGACATAAAATTCGAAATTGTTACATTGACACACTTTGACAATTGAAACCAAAAAAGAAAGAATTTGCAGTCCTATCTAGACCAAAAGATTTAGTGAAGTCCCTTTAATGCTTACATTTATAGAAAAATCTCAATTTTTGTGAAAAGAAAAAAAACAAAAAAACAACCCAAAAAACAATGCATCAAAATTATTTGGTCATTAGATTGGAGAGTTTTAGCTATGGACTGGTAGGACAGGTTGATAAACAATAATTTCAACATGCATGATGCTAAGATTTCACAATAGATTTCAATTAATATTTTATAAAAAGATCATCATTAAATGCCCTGGTGCACATATACATATGTGGAATTTCGTAGACAGAATTATGATTCTTTGTATTTCTATATCCACTTGTTAATATGAAATATGATTTTTAGGAGAAAAACTCGGTGTTGCGAGGATTTTTCTGTCTCTTGTTTAATGTAAGAGAGAAAGAATTTGAGTCCATTTTTGAAAGTAATATTAATTCTAAGTACCCATAGGGTTGTTGAGTTAGAATATGAATCATTCTTGTATATCAAAAGACTGTTAGCGATGATAAAAATAAATATTTCTGATTTGTATGTGACTTGAAAAAAAAAAAAATATTGTCAGCATGAAATAAATTGAATAAATCTGAATTGAGTAATTAGTGTTACATATAAACTCCTACTGCTTACTTATATTAGCAATGAAAATTTAATACTTGATCAGTCAGTGACAAAAACTATGTACTAAAGTAGACCTTATTAAGAATTTGTAAGGCAATACTGAACGAGTGCGTTCTTATGTAACTTAACTTATACTATAGCTAATTGATTAATGCTAGTGGTGAGTGTTTACAGACTTGCAATATTAAAAATTAGCAAGCAGCCAAAGCCAATATGGCTTATAAGCTCCTACTTGGCTTTCACTTGCACAGCTAAAGTATTATCAATAAATATCAATGTTATCAAATCTTCACCCCACCAATCCTGGTCAAATTTAATTTTGAATAATTGTACTTTTTAAAATTTAAAGAATCATTCCTCTGAAATCCATATTTTTTTCAATTTCTTTAGAAATTTGAAGTATGGGTTTAATATTGATTTGATAATGGATTAGTGGCATGCTACATGTTTAACAAGTCAGCAATAAGATAGTTTATGTATATGGCAAATGTTAATTTCTTTTGAAACAGTAAATGAATACCTAAAATTAAGAAGTTTTTGAGAAATAAAAATGACGATGGGCATTTCTGAGACATAATTGACACTGTCTTCATATGATTTGCTCTGTCTGTTTGGTAGAAGTTAAAGATGTCTTGGTAAAATCATTGGTCAATATAAATGGACATATAGGAATGAAAACACATGCATGCTTTTCTTTTTTCTTTCTTTTATAAAGCAATTTATTGTGTTTTTACATTGCAAACATCAAAATCACATGAAGACCAATTTATGAAAAAATAGTTTTCATCTCCTGAGTGATTTTATGTTGACACGGAAACAATTCAGATTTATCTATTTTGATATTACTGTTACATGTTACCTATTGACTGTACACAGTAGGATAAACGTGATTGAACTTTATAATGAATCAAGACATCCTCTTCCCTGTTATTCGTATTTTGGACTGGGCTCCAAATGTTTACCAAATATCAACTACATGTACGTTTGATGATAAGCAGCTTTCATATACAACCCAAGCTTTGGATATGGGTCCACTTGCATGCTATTTTTTGGGGACTGGTGTAGTAAAACAACATGATTGTAAATGGTAAGTGTGTGTGTGCAGTTTTTTAAGATCACCCATGCACAAAGTGCTCGGAGGTGATCCTTTTGTGATGGCAGTGTGTCCCTCGGTCATCTATTGTTATCCGCAATTTTTATACCCCCGCACAACAAAGTTGTAAGGGGGGTATACTGGAATCAGCTTGTCCGTCCGTCCGGCTGTCCGTCCGGCCGTCCGTCCGTCCAGCCGTCCGTCTGTCGGTTTTTTCTTGTCTGCCCAATAACTTAAGATTCCTTTGACCCTTAGTCTTAATATTTGGCATGGAGGTTAGTCATGCTTAGTAGATGACCCCTATTGATTTTGAGGTCACTAGGTCAAAGGTCAAGGTCACAGGGGCCTTGACTTCAAAAGGCTTGTCCGCCCAATAACTTAAGATTCCTTTGACCTACAGTCTACATATTTGGCATGAAGGTTAGTCATGATAAGTAGATGACCCCTATTGATTTTGAGGTCACCAGGTCAAAGGTCAAGGTCACAGGGGCCTTGACTTCAAAAAGCTTGTCCGCCCAATAACTTAAGATTCCTTTGACCTACAGTCTTCATATTTGACATGGAGGTTAGTCATGAATAGTAGATGACCCCTATTGATTTTGAGGTCACCAGGTCAAAGGTCACATGGGCCTTGACTTCAAAAAGCTTGTCCGCACAATAACTTAAGATTCCTTTGACCCACAGTCTTCATATTTGGCATGGAGATTAATCATGATTAGTAGATGACCCCTATTGATTTTGAGGTCACCAGGTCAAAGGTCATGGTCACAGGGGCCTTGACTTCAAAAGCTTGTCCGCCCAATAACTTAAGATTCCTTTGACCCACAGTCTTCATATTTGGAATGGAGGTTAGTCATGATTAGTAGATGACCCCTATTGATTTTGAGGTCACCAGGTCAAAGGTCAAGGTCACAGGGACTTTGATTAAAAAAGTTTATCTGCCCAATAACTTTAGATTCCTTTGACCCACAGTCTTCATATTTGGCATGGATGTTGATCATGATTAGTAGATGACCCCTTTTGATTTTGAGGTCACCAGATCAAAGGTCAAGGTCATAGGGACTTTGACTTCAAAAAGTTTGTCCACCCATTAACTTAAGATTCCTTTGACCCACAGTCTTCATATTTGGCATGGATGTTCATCATGACTATAAGGTGACCCCTATTGATTTTGAGGTCACTGGGTCAAAGGTCAAGGTCACAGGGACCTTGACAAAAAAAAAGCTTTTCTTCTCAATTGCTAAAGAATGTCCTGTCCGCAATGTATTGATTTTGACATTTTCACATTTGAAGCATGTAGAATACATAACTTAGCAATGCACTGGCTTAGTAACCTCAGATTTGGCAGGGAGGTTGTCCTTGAGCTCTAAATGGCCACTGTTGATTCTGACAAAGTGGTATGCGGGGGTATTCACGCCATGATAGTGGCAGTTCTAGTTTTAAACAATAGCTTCTAAAACCTATCGCTGGATATTGACCTCATTTCACAGGAATGGTTCTCAGGTGATCCTCTACATATTTTGTGTAAATGGTTCAACTCTGATGCATTAATAGGTCATAGGAGCTAAAAATCTTCTCCTCAGAGCTTAGATATTTGGCAAGTAGCTTCATCTTGTAAACCTTTACAAAAGTTATAAAAATCAAAAGTGACCCAGCCCTTTATTGGGATTACTTAGTCTACATACACTTGTATTATAGTATGATTGTCTTAAAAATCTTATTCTCTGAAAGTGCAATGCAAAGAGCTTAGATATTTTGTGTGAAGCATCACATTGTTTTCCTCACTTAATTATACCTCCACACAACAAAGTTGAAAGGGGGGTATACTGGAATCAGCTCATCCGTCCGGCCGTCCGTCAATTTTTCCTTGTCTGCCCAATAACTTAAGATTCCTTTGACCCACAGTTTTCATATTTAGTATTGAGATTAGTCATGATTAGTAGATGGTGCCTATTGATTTTTAGGTCTCCAGGTCAAAGTCACCTGAACCTTGACTAAAAAAAGCTTGTCCACCCAATAACTAAAGATTCCTTTGACCCACAGTCTTCATATTTAGCATGGAGGTTTGTCATGATTAGTAGATGATCCCTATTCATTTTGAGGTCATTGGGTCAAAGGTCAAGGTCAGACTGGTCTTGACTAAAAAAAGCTTGTCTGCCCAATAACTTAAGATTCCTTTGACCGACTGTCTTCAAATTTGGCATGGAGGTAAGTCATGATTATTAGATGACCCCTATTGATTTTGAGGTCACTAGGTCATGGGTCAAGGTCAATAGGGCCTTGACATATAATGCTTGTCTTCCCAATAACTAAAGAATCCTTTGACCCAAAGTCTTTATAATTGGCATGGAGATTAGTCATGACCATTAGATGACTCCTATCAATTTTGAGGTTACTGGGTCAAAGGTCAAGGTCACAGGGGCCTTGGCTTCAAAAAGTTTATCTGCCCAATAAGTTAAGAATCCTTTCACCCACTGTCTTCATATTTGGCATGGAGGTTGATTATGACCATTAGGTGACCCTATTTATTTTGAGGTCACTGGGTCAAAGGTCAAGGTCACAGGGTCCTTGAATAAAAAAGCTTGTCAGCTCAATTGCTTAAGAATGCTTTGGTCAACAGTCTTCATATTTGGTATTGAGGTTGTTTATGACTAGTAGATGACCCCTATTGATTTTTAGATGACTGTGTCAAAAGTCAAGGTCACAGGCTTTTACTACAATAAGGTTGTCTGCTCAAATGCTTAAGAATGCTTGTCAGCAGTGTATTGATTTTGATATTCTCACTTTTTAAGCATGTAGAGTACATAATTTAGCTACTAACCTTAGAGTTGGCAGAGTGGTTGTCCTTGAGGTCTAAGTGGCCACTGTTGATTTTGACAAACTGGTATGCGGGGGTATTCACGCCAAGACAGTTGCAGTTCTATAGTTTACGTAATTTTTATAATATAAATGTGTTTTAACTCTTCTTTGAAAATACAATGCTAATAGTTTAGGTATTGTGCATGAAGCAACACTTTCTGGTCCTCTACAAAAAATGAATAAAGCATGTAGGAATCAAGATTGAGTTCATTCAGTTTATATAGACTTGTATAGGAAAATATGTTAAAGTCATTTTTTGTGAAACAATACCTAGAGCTAAGATATTTGGCATGTAAGATTGTCAAGTGAACATCATTCTACAAAAGTTAAATAAGTCATGCCCTAGAGGTAAAAAATGTCAAGGCACTGGGGGGTCACTTAGATTATATTGGCTTTTGAATGTCTTAAAAATCTTTTTTTTTCTGAAACAACATGCCGAGAGCTTAAATATTGTGCATGTAATATGGGGCCTCAACAAAAGTTTTACAAATGATCGCTTACTTTATATAGACTTACATAGTAGAACACATTGAATTAGGTTTTCTTAGGTGAAATTACAATGCCAAAAGCTTTGATATTTGTCATGAAGCATATAGTAGGAGACATCTCTACAAATATTTTAAAAAATTATGATGTTTTGGTAAAAATGACAAATCCAATGTGACCTTATAACTGAAATTGTGAGATTTTCTAGCAATGAATCTCAGGTGAGCAATCCAGGGCTATCATGGCTCTCTTGTATATATATATTTATGAGGGCTGATTTATAATTTCACAGAATTCTCCTTAATGTAACACTTATTACTTCTAGTCACTAGTCACAT